CATTAATCTCCTGTTCAGGGAATCGTTCAGGACGTAATGAAGGTTCAAATAAAAAAATCTAATTAAATTTTGGTGGAGCTTCAATTTCACTATTTTCTTTGTCTTTGACACCAGTCTTCTCTTAGGGTCAACTTGTATTAGGTTTCTATTGGCCAATTAAACTACGTTCTCTGCTATGCCAGAATACATAGATCCGTGACATCATTGTAAAAATTCAGATTAATAAAGTCTGCTTCTCTATTATATTTCAACAATTTGTAGAGCTCAGCAAATAGAGTGGAAACTGACACGTGGTTTGCTTTTAATCAATTGGATTTAAAATGTTCTGAACTTCTATTAAATGTGATCACAGCATTACGAAGAAGACGTTCCGTGTCCAGAGTTCGTAAAAGTAGACGTATTTAACTACATATGCACACGATTTATTTTAAAAATATAAAATTCTTATGTTTAAATTTTTTAAATAATAAGTATTGTGTTGTTTGGAGTTAGGGACAAAGCTACACGATGGGCTATCTGTGCTATACACACCACGGATGTCGAAACATGGTTTCTAGTATTGTAAGTCCGCAGATATACCGATGTGCCATTGGGGTGGGGTGGGGGTGACGTTAAATAATAAAAAATGTTTTAGATAGGAATGGAAAAGACAAAAAGCTTTTACATTATCAGCATTTTTGCATGACTATAAATATAAAAGCTTGAAAATGTAACTGTTATAAAGTATGTAACCTAATAGTTGAATATATCTTTTGTAAAATTATTTTGAAATAATTTTATGTTTAGATATTTGCTTCTGTTTTACAGACTTCTGTAATTGTCTTTCTATAATTGAAATATACTTAATCACAAAAAAACAACATATGTAGACAGTATATTTCCTTATGTTGTGCTGTATACCTAATTATAAAAACACATGTAAGCAGTGTATTCCCTTATGTTGTATTGTTTGTTGTTTTCTTAGTGCAAAGCTACACTAACTGAACTCCGAATTTTAGAGTTGCAAATCCCTAAACTTCTTAGTGAATCACCAGGGGACCTTTACTTTACGTGTACTATTAGATTTTGTTGTAAGTATGAGGAGTAACCAAATCAAGTTATTAAAAACAATTAACTATTTAGTATAGTAGAGTACCCATTGTCCCTTCCAGCACCATTTGATGTATGATTTATAGTAAGAACAGTAAGAAACATTTCTAGTACTTGTGATAAAGTTCTCCAATGCTAATTACATCTGACGAGAAGTATGTGGTAGAAAAAAAGTAATTTTTATGTCATCATCTCTTTCTAAAGTTAAAGTTTTCGAGAGTAATATGTTTTCTTTCTCTGTTATTGATGGTGATTTGACCAGTGGCGTGACGTCTATGTATACAATGCACGCATCACATGCCCCGGGTTTCATGTGTTTCATTCCATAATATTTTCAAGAAAACAAAATAAACATAGGCCTGCCTGTCAGAATTCTGTTCCTGTCGGTTATCTTCTTGCTTGTCAACTCATGCAACGCTCCAAGTTGCATCAGTTGCCAAAACAAAGTGATACTGTGTCAGTTCTTTACACTAAGTGTTTTAAAATGCAGAAGTGTAAAATTACTCAATATGGTGCAAATATGTAGACCCCCACTCTGACGGATTTATTGTTATATGTTTATTTTAATATCGACGTTTGTTTAGATTAAATTCATATTTAGAAACATGCATACCTTATACTGTTAAATGTGACGGATTTATCATTATACATTTATTTTAATATCGATGTTTGTTTGAATTTAATTTATATTTAGAAATGTACATAATGTATACTGTTAAATATATATATTGCGAAACTCCCGCCTATTCTCTAACGTTGTAGAAGATTCTCGAGTGTAAGAATCAACAATATATGTGTGTACGTAAACGTCAGTGTAGCTTTATATTGTTACGTAAGCTAAATTTTCGAGAAACTCTCCACACGTCTATAAATATAACCAACGCGACGCACCTAAAAAGCCGTATCTATTATAAGTTTGCTATAGTCAGTGTGATATAAACTTGGGAAGCTGTAACTGTGATTGTTATAACGCTTATTAATCGGAACACTTCATATATTTGACCAGGATCATTTACAAAGTTCGAACATTAAAAATCATTTAACTTCAGTGGATTCTCATTGGACACTAGTATTTTTAGGAAAACATTATATAACTTCACGGTGGAAACTCGGTGTGTGTGTGATTGGTGAATAACGAAAGACAAAGCTAGCTACCTCCTCATTAAGCGAATTGTATCTATATCAACTCGTAATTAACTCGCTCATCGTGAACTAACTAGACCACCGTGACCCGTTGGGTCAACCACTATTCAGAGGTTATGAAGAATTCAAGCTAATTTCAATATTGCACCGAAATGATGGTTTATTTGAGATAATTTAATTAAATATTTCAATCTATTCGTGTTATTCATAATTTAAAAAAAGATATTTGATTGTTGATCGGGAGTAAAAGGAAGGACCATTTCATTTTTCAAAAAAGTGAAGTAAGAAGTTTCGTAAAGAGCGCGAACGGTAGTGTGAATGATTTTTTTGACTGAGAAAATAAGCAAACAAACAAACAAACAATCTCATAGTTTTAGTAATATATATAGATAGATTCTTCAAAATCTTATTTTTGCCATCTTAGGCCTTTTAATGAAGATGGGAACATTGACAGGGAAATAATATAATAGCCAATGCTCGGCGAGAGGTTTTCATTTATAAAATTTTGTTGTTGTTCTTGACTTGATTTTTATTTTATTACCTCGTCTCCATAGTTACTATTTGCAAGTAGTCAATAATATTGTAGGTCAATTTTATTGTTGTTCTTTCTATGCACTGTTATAACACATTTTCATCTCATCATTTAATTTCTGTTGTGCATATATTGTTGTATAGAAGATATTTTAAAGTGATTCATCAGGTGGAAGACGAGGTTTTATAATAATGGAATGTATGTAAAGTGACCCGAAAAACGGCGCTAACTCGGTAACTCCGTAGCCCGATTTTAACGAAACTTGTTTTATTCTGTTTCTATTCTCATTTCATTACAAATATGGCGGTATTGTGCGCCGTTTTTGCTGTATTTAATTACAGACAAGCAAACAAACAATCTCAGAGTTTTAGTAGTATATAGATATAGAGCTGTGGTTTCATTGTTCGGATTTCTGTGGTGAGCCTTTAGTATTAGGTCAAAGCATTTATTTTTTCTTATATTCACATACATATTACTTTTGTATGTTCATTCCACGAAAATATTTACTTTGTTATACCTTCATGTTTTTACAATTTTATTTTAATATTATTATGGAACATAAACAAGTTATTGGCATCAATACAGAATACGTAACAAACATTTGGAAAGCGTTTCTTATTAAAGACCTTAAAAGACTTGATAAATTGTTGATCACTTTCCCGAACCTTGTCTTAGTCTAACTGCTTGAGAGAGGAGTGAGCAAGTGGCTTAAGAAATGAATGATAAAGAATACGAAATCCACTTGTCGTAATTGTTTGTGAAATGTAGATAGGAATATTGTTTGTGTGTTGTATTATTGAAAATAACAAATATTTCAAAAACGTTTCTGAACAATCAGTGTTGAATATTCTTATGGAAAAGTGTTAGTAAGCTCTTCTGGAAAAAAATATTAGGAGTGAAGGAGAACAACAGTAGTCACTGTCCTTAAGTCTCAAGGATTTTCTATTAAATTATTATTATATAGCTAATGAATAATGGCCCAGGCGTACTTCTTCTTATTGAAAAACAACAAATTATAAGTAGAGCGTCATTCAAAAAAATTAAATTGTCTTTCCATAATCTTGGAAAGCATTTTACTCGACCGAGTGACCACTCATAACCTTGGCTTCTGTGGGATCACCGATTCCTTCATGGCATGCCTTTATAATAGATTCTTGCTCAATAATATCGTTAATAACCTTAAGCTCCATCGAGGCCTTGTCATTACGATAAGGCTTATAATTCGTTCTTCCTCAACAGTATCACCAATAACTCTAAGTTCCATCGAGATATTATCATTACGATAAGGTTTATAACAATTAGAATGCTGATTACGGTGCAGAACATACTAATATATTTGTCTTCCTCTAAAATTCTAATAGCCTCATTGTTTACTTTTAAACTTGTCTGGGTACTATTTGTTGGTTAATTATGTGAAACGTATTCAAAGTTTGGATAAGATAAACGTTTGAGGCGTACCTTTATTTTTTTATTTTTAGTTAAGTTTTAGTCTTCGTTAAGGGATAACAATATTGATGAAAGTGGGTCTAATCAAATTAATATTTTATTAAAAACACTTGTTAGCACATTCGAACTTGTACACTAAAATAGTTACCAAATTATAGAAATTAAAATCTTATCGTGTACAGATATAACGAGTAAATGATAAGCGTATTATTTGAAAATATATTTGGTATAAAATATTTTATAGTGTATATGCCTTAATATATTATTTTAAGACATAGTTTATAAGCTAAAGATATCTAAATATGATCTGGTGCAGCAAAAATTATATGGATGATGTAATACGTACATTATAAAATAAGCTTTAGAAAACCTTCTATTAATCTTCTTACATTTAGACCAATAATATAGTTAAGCATGGCTAATGACGAACTCTTTTTTTTAATGTCGTTTGCTAGCTGGGAAGTGTGATCTTTTTTATATTGGAAGTGACATACCGCCCCCTTCCCCTGAGGTTTATGTTCTGGATGCAACTTAGGTTATTAAATATTTATATTCTGTGAGATAATTATCTAGCAGAATACACCAAAGATCTAAGTCATATTAAAAGTACCACAGAATTATCATTCCGTTTTGTTTTGGTAAAAAATATTTTAAGTCTGGGTAGTGTTATTCTGTTCTTTTTGCCTCCCAGTAGCACAGCGGTATGTCTGCTGACATACAACGCTATAATCCGGGTTTCGATACTCATGGTAGACAGAGTACAGATAGCCCATTTTGTAGCTCTGTGTTTAATTACAAACAAGCAATCAGAGGTTTGACACAAACCCTCTTCCCTCCAACAATCTAGTTACTAAATCCAATTCAGTTGTTCTTCTATAGAGTTTAGGGTTCATTCCACTTTCCTACTTCCACTCTCTTTCCTACAATCTCAGCTTGGTGGTTAGGGCGCTAGACTCGCAATCTGCGGGTCGCGAGATCAAAACCCGTTCCCTACTTGATCGCCTTTTCAACCGTGGGGGCGCTATAATGTGATAGTGAATCCCGCTATTCGTTGGTACAAAGTAGTCTAAGATCTGGCTAAGAGCATTGTAAAATTGCCTTTCCTATAGTCAATCATTTCAAAATTAGGGACAGCTAGCGGTGATAGCCCTTGAGTAGCTTTGCGAGAAATTCAACAAAACAAACAAACAACCCTATAATCTTCCAGTTCACCACTGTGACCTCTGTACCATCATTTCCTTTTTAGCAGTCTAAATGCTATTCGGAAATCTCACCAGGTCACCTATGTAAGAGTTGTACCTTACCAGGTGGTCCACTGTGTTTTTCTGTTGATGGCAAAGCTACTAAAGTTATCTGCCTCCTTCCCTAATTTGGAACTGTTGACTAAAGAGGGAAAGCAACCGGTCGGCAGCACCCACTGTCAAACATATACACAACAAGTATGGAAATCAATATATTATCAACTAACTTTCTAAATTTTTGTACTTAATATATGAAAGACTTATGCAACAGGTTTTATAACACCTCTACATAGTATTCAAATAGAAAACAATGTATGATTAAGTATGATCGAGACCAGAAATTATTTGTATTTTAAACAATCAAACATACTACAATTACTATGTCGTCACACGTAAGTTTACTGAAAAGTGTCATCCTCTATCATATGTTTAAATAACTTGTGTAAGTTTTGAAGGAGATTAGGTTTTATACTCGTGTATTTAGCTAATTAACTTGCTAAAATAATCTTTCCAACAAAGAGTAATTAAGCTCAATCATATTTCTGCGTGTTTTACAGTAATTTTACTTTTTTCCGATATAAAAAATCCTACATCACCTTTGATTCACGCACAGTTAAAATCCACATTTTAGCATCACATATTTACAAATTTTGAAAGTTTTCGAACCCAATTTTAAACACAAATAAAACTAACACCAAGTTAATGATCATAAAGATCACTTTTGAATCAGTTTTCAAAATGAAGATAACCATGCCCTTGAATCTGATACAAATGCAGTTCATGATCCATGCCCCTCCAGCCCTCACACCCATTCTTCAAATTCAACTTACAGAACCCAACACCTAATGTTTAGTGGCATTATATCATTATAAAAGTAAAATAAAATATAAAAGTTTCTAGTCCTTGAATTGGTATATTTCATTTCAACTTTTTTATATGAGAATATTTTTACAGCAATCATTAAAAATACCATATTAATTGTAAGTAACATTTTAAGAGGCTCCCTACAGCATGCATTATTAACTGGCATGTAGTTATGGAGTGTTATAATATAATTTTTTATCTATTCTCATATTCAATACTTCTGAAAGTTACTGATTATGTTTCATTTACACTTTTTGAATCTCGGAGAGGTCACGTGACAGATATTGAGATTAAGAATACTTTGGAATTCTAATATTAACTATTTTTTATTTTGAAAATTATTTGCTTTTCGAGATTCTGTTATATACAATACTTTTATCACAACAACATCCATTATGCCAGACTACACCATTGGGGAATAAAAAAAACCTTGCATCTATGTTGCTAGTCATTTCAGAAATCCCCAGAAAAGTGATAAAAACATAAACTGAATAAAGAAGATAAGAAACCTTGTTTCTTAATTTAAGGAGTAGGTAAATGTGAATATAGGTTTAACAGATGGCGTATAACTATTTTTACTCCTGTAAAGGGGGGGGAGAGTGAAATGGAATAAAGAGGAGAAATAATGTAATTAACTCTATAAAACTAAACGAAACCCTTTATTATTATATAGAGTGCGTTTCTTTTATCAGTGTCGATCTTTGCTCGTTTGGCCATTCCATGATTTTGGCCGTGTTTACCAGTCCTTACCTTTCCCTCTACATCCTGCTACCAATTTCGATTGTGTTTAACTCAGTGTCAATACTCAATACTGGTGTTTTCCAGCGGACATGTACTTTCTCTATACGTTTCTTGGCCTCACTGATCTATGACTTCGTTGATTTCGGTCTGCTTCGTCTGCCCTCCTCTCTCAAGCACTGATAAAGTAACAGATAAATAGATTTGATAACTCTACTGATCATCGTTATGTGAAGTGTTAAAGCAAGTCATCGCCATAACTGCCATACAAACACACGCACGTGGCAAAATGTTTTCTTTTTCGACGTTTACCTGAGGATTCAGTCTCCCCCTTCATCGATGGCTCAGCGGTACGTCTGAGGGCTTAACATCAGGTTTCGATACTTACGAAAGGAAGATCTGCGCTTAACAACAAGCTTACCAGAAAAAAATATGTTTGTTTATAAGGTCGCTGGTCATGATAATTCTATCAAACATATCCTTTTCGTTTACCTCACAGTTCAGCTGCTCTCGTTTCTTACAAATAATTATAATAAGAGAGAAAATAATCATCCAGGAAATCCTGATAATGAAATACTATTTATTTTTAACTTTAATGTAATATAATTTTTGTTAGTTTCTTATTAATGAATTTCATTTCAGAAGCATAGACTTTGCATGTTCTTATTTAAAAGCATTTATAGTTATTGTTTCAGGTAGTATTAATTACTCTAATTCAAGTTTTTATCATGTAACCTTGAATTTGACCACCATCTTCTTTATATACATATCCCCGTAGACATTATACTTAGATTATATACATATCCCCGTAGACATTATACTTAGATTATATACATATCCCCGTAGACATTATACTTAGATTATATACATATCCCCGTAGACATTATACTTAGATTATATACATATCCCCGTAGACATTATACTTAGATTATATACATATTCCCGTAGACATTATGCTTAGATAAGTTGGACTTCTAAAAAATATCGTATTTCTTAATCTTAAACGACTGATATCTGAAGATATCAAATGTTTCGATTGCGCGGCTAAGCAGCATCATATACTGAGGTTCAATGCGATTTCGTCGTTTCAACTCATGTCGCTACGCCGGTCATGCTCCATCTGACGACCATGCATCTTGACAACAGTCCTGTTGTGTAGTTTCTATTGTAAAAAGCTATCATGTCCAGGCACACCATTAATTTCTGCGTGCTTTTCATAATCCATACAATGTATGAGGACGACGGTTTTCCTGCGCCTGTTTCAACAGTCCGTTCACATACAAATCCATAGGTGTTGCGTCCAGTGTTCTGATCGGTAGCTCTTTGTCTGGAATAGCATAAATACCCATTTTATTCTCCAGTAGCTTAGCTCATGTGACAGATATGTCATAAAGAAACTTGTGTACATGTGAGTTAGGCCCGGCATGGCCAGGTGGTTAGGGCGCTCGACTCGCAATCTGAGGGTCGCGGGTTCGAAGCCCCGTCCCACCAAACATGCTCGCCCTTTCAGCCATAGAGGCGTTATAATGTGACGGTCAATCCCACTATTCGTTAGTAAAAGAGTAGCCCAAGAGTTGGCGGTGGGTGGCCTTACACTGCTAATTTAGGGATGGCTAGCGCAGATAGCCCTCGTGTAGCTTTGCGAGAAATTCAAAACAAACATGTGAGTTGTATCGCTTTTCCAGGCGGATATCCTCCATGATTATATTAAGTACTGTTGCCTAAGGCATGTAGGCGATATTTCTCACCTGTATAAGACGCTGCACTTTGCTTATCATGGGTGGTGTACGACTTGTTGCAGGTCTTTTCCTAGATGGTTCCGGTACTCCGATTTGATCCATATTCCTTTGTTTTCCAGTACGATTAAATGCAAGAGATAATATTGTCTTGTAAATTCAAAATCCTTTATCTGGACACATGTTTACGATATGTCTGTATGAATATTTTGGGTCAGAAAAGTATGTTACATAGTCTTCCCATACGCGGTCAGTTTTCGGTGGCATCACACTACCTACTAAACGCAATACAATGTAAAACATAGCTCCGATATGTGCCATTCCACCGAGACTTTATATCGGCTGTGCTTATTACGTGACTTGTTGATTTGCACGGCGCATGGCCTACTGTGTATCATGTACAAACTGTATGATTTAGGAACATGTTAATCAGTGTACTATACATGTTTATTGAAGCAGAGTATGTATTATTTATTTTGTGCCCCCCAGTGGCACAGCGGTATGTCTACGGACTTACAACGCTAGAAACCGAGTTTCGATACCCGTGGTGGGCAGAGCACAGATATCCCATTGTGTAGCTTTGTACATAATTACAAACAAATTTATTTTATACTTTTTCTAGAAACGATTTAATAGTTTACAAAAGCTAACCACGTATGAACAATAATTGGTTTATTTTAAACTGACACGAATTATAAATACTGCATGATTTAGCCCATATTTAGCCCAACTTTACTGCATGATATAGCCCAAACCCATATTCCAGTTCACAAATTATTTATCATTTTATCACACCCTCTAACAGTTTAAGCTTTGTTTTACTATGTATGCAAATTCTGCATAGTTAACATAACTAAGAAATAAGGTGTCTCCATGAACAATTTGTACTTAAACTTTATAAACAACTCTGTTTAATGTTTAGATCATTAATAATTAGCGATCTATGTGGATATGTCGTGAATGTATTTGGCGTTATAATGAACTCCTTATGTACAGGTATGTCATGGTTCACGAGCTTCCTTTTTGGTGAGTGTTATAATGTTTTTTTTATGGTTTAACATAACGCTTTATCTTGAACTTGGAGAAGTGAAGTTACATATGAACATCATGTCAACATACTGCGTCACAGTAATATATGGCTGACCTGAATATGAACTGGAAAAAAATCCTACTTTTTTCTATCTACACCTCCGTTAAAATGTCTTCTAGCTTCTGTTTGTGTATTTAGTGCAAGTACAAAAAGGAGAAGAAAGTAAAAAAAAAAAAGAATTCCACACATCTCTAAAAGTGAGGCATATAGTTCTTTCACTGATTGGTAAGATTTACCTTTTTTGTTGTGTGTTGGAATAATAATAATAATAACAAGAAAAAGATAATATGAAAATCAAAATCCATCAAATGAGCATATACAGAGTTTGTGGGTTTTTCAAAGTTACCACGACGACAAGTTTAGCAACGAAACAGCTTCTAACAACTGTAAGGATCCACAATACTAAATCTTACTATTACAGAATACAATAATATATTCTTTAAGTTGGTGACAATTTCTTGGAATGAAAGGGTCTTGTCACGTGACAGGAAGTTGCATTGTCTGTGTTAATATTATGACTGACAAGAAACAGATGATTACGTGATTTGACTGGGCGTGTACTTGAAAATTTAGTTTCTATGTCGTTCTTGTTTCATCTAATTGATTTAAGAGTTTGGTTCCAGAGTAAATGCAGTTTTTGGTTTACAAGCTGAAATAATTATATTATTCATCCCAAAAATCACTTCACGATTGTAATTAGTGGTGTATTAAAAAGGAGCCCTCTAAGGTAAGTGTTATAGACAGTTTTGTTTAGTGATATGGTTTTAAAAACCCTCTGTGTAATGTATTGAAAGACGGGTTATAATCGAGGTATAAACTATGTTTTTTTAATACTACTGTAAAAAAATACTTATATATTGACAGAAAGATGTATGAGATGAATGTTAAACGATAGTTTAACTATAGCTAGAGTAGTTAAAACCTTATCTGTAATGCTTGAAAGGGAATATTGTATTGTATATAACGAACATGGTTCTAAGACAAACTTAAAGTTTTAGAAACCAAAAGGTAAGTTTAGTCAAAGACTCCTGTAAAATATGGTTCTGATATGCACAGAATTTTAAAACATCGCTGTAAAACATGGTTCTGGTATGCACAGACTGTAAAGCACCCTGTAAAACATGGTTCTGGTATGCATGGAACTGTAAAGCACCCTGTAAAACAAGTGTAAACATGGTTCTGGAATGTTTGAAAACGGTGGTCTATAAAACGTGTGTCACAAATGATTTTCTTTATAGCTATTGAAGAAACCTTGAGTAATATGTATTAAAAGAGATCCCTGTAATATAGTTGTCAAAGATGATTCTGGATGTAGCTATTGAAAAAGGCTTAATTATAATGCACTAAAAGAGGTTTGCTAATATATTGGTATCAAAGATGATTCTGTCACTAGGTGTCGAAAAAGAAAATATTATAATGCATTTGAAAGAAAATTTGTAGCGTAAAAGTTAAAGATGGTTTTGTTTGAGTTGGAATTGCAAAAAGCTAAATTGTTTTTGTATTAAAAGAGAGTCCTGTAATAAAGAGATCAAATATGATCCTGACAATGTATATAGTTTTAAATTTCTGTAATGTAAGAACCACAACAGTTGTGATGTATTAAAAGAGAGTCCTGTAATAAAGAGATCAAATATGATCCTGACAATATATATATAGTTTTAAATTTCTGTAATGTAAGAACCACAACAGTTGTGATGTATTAAAAGAGAGTCCTGTAATAAAGAGATCAAATATGATCCTGACAATATATATAGTTTTAAATTTCTGTAATGTAAGAACCACAACAGTTGTGATGTATTAAAAGAGAGTCCTGTAATAAAGAGATCAAATATGATCCTGACAATATATATATATAGTTTTAAGTTTCTGTAATGTAAGAACCACAACAGTTGTGATGTATTAAAAGAGAGTCCTGAATTAAAGGAATCAAACGTGATTCGGACTATAAAAAAACCATAATTGGAAGCTGGTGTAATACTGCCAGAATGTTGGAAGCTGGTGTAATACTGCCAGAATGCATAATTATACTTTAATAAAACATTACAAACTGATGGCATATAGATTTACATTTTGAAGTGATAAATTAGATGAAGCACCACTCACCGCCAACTATTGAACTACTCTTGTTAGAATGAATACTGGAATTTGACTGCCACTCTTATAGTGCGCCCATGGCCCCAAAGTGCGAAGCGCAGCATTTTTTTTCGATGTAACTGTACCTTATGGTGTAATACTAGCTAACATCATCTTACTTAACAGGTGCCCCTCAGTGGCACAGCGGTATGTCTGCGGACTTACAACGCCAAAAACCGGGTTTCGATACCCGTGGTGGGCAGAGCACAGATAGCCCATCGTGTAGCTTTGTGCTTAACTTAAAAAACAAACATACATACATATTTAACAGGTGCATTAAAAGCTGGTATAACAAGTATTATACCATTGTCTAAGTAGAACGCTAGTTTGAATGTTACACCAGCTACTAATGCGCTTGTTAAATAAGATGGTGTTAGTTAGAATTATACCATTGTCTAAGTAGAACACTAGTTTGAGTGTTACACCAGCTACTAATGCGCTTGTTAAATAAGATGGTGTTAGCTAGTATTATACCATTGTCTAAGTAGAACGCTAGTTTGAATGTTACACCAGCTACTAATGCGCTTGTTAAATAAGATGGTGTTAGCTAATATTATACCATTGTCTAAGTAGAACGCTAGTTTGAAAGCTAACACCATCTTATTTAACAAGCGCATTAGTAGCTGGTGTAACATTCAAACTAGCGTTCTACTTAGACAATGGTATAATACTAGCTAACACCATCTTATTTAACAAGCGCATTAGTAGCTGGTGTAACACTCAACCTAGCGTTCTACTTAGACAATGGTATAATATTAGCTAACACCATCTTATTTAACAAGCGCATTAGTAGCTGGTGTAACACTCAAACTAGCGTTCACCTTAACAAACATAGTAGAAATTAGTGTAACATTGAAATTATCATGCTATTCAAGGGCAGTATATGGTTGTGTAACACTCAAACATTCCTCCTACTTAACAAGTGTATTACAGTGTAGCTAAATTGGTATGGAGTGTCATTAGGTCCATGCGAGGGTACATACAAAATTTCAGTTTTCCATTTAGCGATTTTTATGGGCGTTTTTGTGTTTTGCGTTTTTTACCACTACTTCGCCCCCTCTTGATGGATCTTCCCCAAATTTGGCATGAAGGTTCATAGGGTCCATGCGGAGATACATGCAAGCTTGCGGTTTCACATTTTGTGTTTTGCAGTTTTTATGGGTGTTTTTTACAATCATATATAAGGGAAGCAACTTTACATGTCCTAAGATAACCTTTCATTAATCAAGAACTTACATAACTTTCGTCCAGCGGACGAGTACTCCAGCTAGTATAATAATATATACGAAAGGTGTGAGTGCTTGGGAAATGTTAAGACGATATTGTACGGCTATCAATGGGGACCGATGTAACAGAAAAATCCAGGTCTCTGTGTCGTTGAATAAACTCAGGAATGTATTTTTTATGTTTCATTAACTCAAATTCTTCTCATTAATTTTTCCCAAGACGAAAACTTGATTATTCTTATTTCAATCCTTGTTAATTGTATTATATTAGAAGCGTCTAGTACTTTCTTAATTCACTTACTTTATTTTGAGTTATAAGCTAATAAGTTTATTAAGGCTTAGTTTGTTTTGATTTTCACGCAAAGTTAATCGAGAAATATCTGCGCTAGTCGTCCCTAATTTAGCAGTGATACACTAGAGGGAAGGCAACTAGTCAACATCACACACCGCCATCTTTTGGGCCAATGTTTTAAAAACGAATAGTGGGATTGATTGTCACATTATAACGCCCCTACGGCTGAAAGGGCGAGAATATTCAGCAATGGGAGAAGTATATTTAGCCGAGCAACCTTTTTATCGCATAGAACTAATAAAAAGTATTATGGTAAAAGAGTATTTTACTTTAATTTTTATGCTTATTATGATCGTATCTGTTTTATTACTTCATAGATTCGCCCCCCTTCAGTGTCACAGTGGTATGTCTGCGGACTTACAACGCTAGAATCTGGGTTTAGATACCCGTGGTGGGCAGAGCACAGATAGCCCATTGTGTTGCTTTGTGCTGAACTTCAAAGAAGCAAAGAAACAAATTATAGATTCGAAGCTTTTTGCGTGGTCTATTATTGTAAATAGTCTAGAGAAATGTAGCTGGCTTATATGCAAATTATTATCGTTATACGTATTTGTTCTTCTTATGAAGCATTGGAACCTTTGACCTCGAAAATTTTAAGTTTCAGAAGTTCGCACAAAACTACACAAGGGCTATGTGCGCATATTCGCCACTAATTCCGAATTAATAGTTTAGACAGATATAGTCGACAACTTTCACCGTCACCATCTCTTGGGAAACCCTCAATTGCCTAACAGAATAGTGAGATTTAGCCATTCTTTTGTGTGTGTTTTCAGATCCACTGCTCCAATAGAAGCAAGATTAGAACTTTTTTCACTTCTGATAAATAATGAATGTAGAGTTTCTTTATGATTACACCTGTCAGTAGTGCAGAGTTTTTTTATGATTACACCTGTCAGTAGTGCAGAATTTCTTTATGATTACTCCTGTCAGTAGTGCGGAGTTTCTTTATGATTACACCTGTCAGTAGTGTAGAGTTTCTTTATGATTACACCTGTCAGTAGTGTAGAGTTTCTTTATGATTACACCTGTCAGTAGTGTAGAGTTTTTTTATGATTACATCTGTCAGTAGTGCAGAGTTTCTTTATGATTACACCTGTCAGTAGTGTAGAGTTTTTTTATGATTACACCTGTCAGTAGTGCAGAGTTTCTTTATGATTACATCTGTCAGTAGTGCTTGTATTTAGAACATTCTCATCATTTTACTCTCCCTATTTTTAGATAATTGCTTGCTCGGAGAGGGCAATAAATATGGACTATAATTGACATATTCAATCAACAGGGCCCGGCATGGCCAGGTGGTTAGGGCGCTCGACTCGCAATCTGAGGGTTCGAATCCCCGTCCCACCAAACATGCTCGCCCTTTCAGCCGTAGGAGCGCTATAATGTGATGGTCAATCCCACTATTCGTTGGTAAAAGAGTAGCCCAAGAGTTGGCGGTGGGTGGTGATGACTAACTGCCTTCCCTCTAGTCTTACGGTGCTAAATTAGGGGCGGCTAGCGCAGACAGCCATTGTAGCTTTGTGCGAAATTCAAAACAAACAAACAAACAATCAGTCAATCAACAGTTCATTTCCATGGCCACTTAGTGATGTAATACTGTAACTTAACGACAATATAAATTAAATGCGAGAGTAATCAATCTAGAAAATGTTTATCACTAGAAGTAAGACATTATGTTAATAAATCTCCATAAAATTTACAATATTATTTACCTCACTAAAGTCCCATATATCTAATAGTCATTGTAAGACATTAGTTTTGTTATATTTCCAGAATAAAGAAACCGTGATTTTCTAAGGTAACACAAGTGGCAGCGAAACCGCTATCACTGTCTGAAGTACACGCTGAGATGGCCGTCAATATACTTGGTGTGGTTTCTATTGGTATTTTCTACGTTATTATCCTGATTGTGGGAATATGGGCCAGTCGGAAGAAGAAGACTTCTTCTGGCCAGTCAGAAACCGAAGAGATAATGTTGGCTGGCAGAAATATCGGATTTTTGGTAGGAGTTTTAACAATGACAGGTATGTGTTTTATAAAAACTATGCCTGTAGATATACAGATGCAAAAAATACAGTAGTTTAATAAATCCTGTCAAGTGATGCGAGTGGTTAAAACAGGTTACCCCTCCAGGCGGCGTTCGACTCCCTTTTCGAGGAAATATTAACACATTTAACTAATAGCGTTTAATGAATATAGTACATCGATACGTTTCCTATGTATTCATGTTTACTTTAGGACTTATAATTGACTTATTCATGATGTAAACAGTTTAATAGTAAACTGGTACACAGAGTACAATATCGCATATAATTGTCCTTTTGCACTAAACTTTCTTAACTCTGTATGCTTTAGTATATTTTTTGAACTCGTTTTGCGCAATATAAATGTTTCTATAAAGGAAACAGTTTTGAATTTTACATTATTTTATTATTATTATACTCTTGTTTTGTTTTTTTTCAGCTACTTGGGTGGGAGGCGGATATATTAACGGAACAGCGGAAGCCATGTATAATAATGGTTTGGTGTGGTGCCAAGCTCCCTTTGGCTATGCCCTTAGCCTCTTTATAGGTGAGCGTCAAAAAGATATGGAGTAGAAGAGAGAGTTGTGAAATCAAGTTTGAATTAATGTTGTTATAGAGTGTTAATATAATGTTAAACATCTAGCATTTTCCTTTGCTATCTTTGAAGGTTTAAATTGGCTACCATAACATTTAAGTTTTGATAGTTTTTTCTTCAAAATCCAGTCTTTGAAGGACGACACATTGAACAAAAACTATCAAACATAAATTGATATATTGTTATATTGTGACAAAGATACGCCATAAGATTGCAAAATATTGTTTATATACCATCATATAAAGATAACAGAAGTAGCAGCGCCACCTAGTGAAAGTTATTCAAGTTCAAAACACATGTGAATCTGTGCCCTGTTATGATCTTCAAAACATGTTTTTTATTGCAATCATTCAGTCATTTTATTTTTTATCACGAATGACATCAATAATTTTTATTTAATAACACATTCACTGAACACAGATATTTTATAGAATAATACGAAATCGGAAACTATAGTGTTTCACATAACATTCTGACATTCAGTGTTAAAAGGTGCAACGTAAAATGTAATGTATTAATGCTAGAAATAAACGATCTTATAACACCAAAATGTTATTTTTTATTTAATTAAATACTGAACGTTTAACTTGCATTGTTTATCGTTTTGTGTTTAGGTGGTATTGTATTTGCCAAAAAGATGCGATCACAAGGCTATGTGACTATGCTAGATCCTTTACAGGAAAACTTCGGGTCAAAAATGGGAGGGCTTCTCTTTCTTCCCGCCCTTTGTGGAGAGATTTTTTGGTCAGCGGCTATTCTTGCAGCCCTTGGTACGTGAATATTACGACATCGTTATACTCTTTACTAATACTAGCACTAGTTTTATAGAGATGTGTATAAATATTTGCATTTGACATTCCGCCTAATAGTGAACGATAGTATCAGATTACTGTTAACATTCAAAGTTTGAAAGAATTTGCAGCAACTTATTTGAAAACGTTCAAGAAAATTTACATTTTGAAGCTTTTTTCCATACATGATTGAATAATGAGTGTATTAGGTAGACGTCTTTCATATCTGTTTTCAGGAGCCACCATTAGTGTGATTACCGAACTAGAGAGCAGCACATCCATCATAGTATCCAGCAGTATTGCTGTTTTCTACACATTTTTCGGTGGCTTTTATTCTGTCGCCTATACTGACGTCATCCAGTTGTTCTGCATCTTCTTTGGTTTGGTGAGTAAAGAAGTCGATTAAACTGTTCATTTGGCAAACTGGTTTACAAAAACATATAGCTAGGAAGGCATATGATTCTCTATTTGGTAATAGTAGTAGATACATGTATTAGAATCGTGGCAGAAAAATGTATAAAGATACAAATCCTTAAAGGGGGGGGGTTTTGTCGAGATTACCAGAAGTTTGAAGATGACTGTAACAGTAGTGGATCTTCATTCACTGTGATATAAACTAGTTATGATGAGGACAATGATGCAATAGGACTAGTGACGGTTTTTAGTAGTTATTATAGTCCTTGAATTTGAACTGATGAAGCCCCACTCATGAGGCGGACATTTCTTGCTTAAAGCTTAACCACCTAGCGTAGAAATAAAAAAATAAAAAAACTGAACATTAATTACATTTTCTGTCATCAAGGTTCATCATGCAAGTTAGAAATATTGTATAAATAGAGCCGATTTTTCAATGTCTTTTACTATTTAAAACCATTACAACAAAAAATAGTTTTTTAAGTACTGCAATAAAATGACTTTTCTTGAGAGTTATATGTTTTCATATAATCATTTTTTTTTTTTGCAAGTCAATTCACGATTCTTTTGGCATTATAAGTGTTGCAAGATTTTCTCCGTGGAATGCATGTTTGATGGTTTTATTATATTTCTTTACAGTGGTTGTGTATCCCGTTCAGTTTCTCACACGAAGCTGTTGGGTCTCTAAGCTCGATCGACTTTCTAGGGTCAGTGAAACTGTCTGATGCTGGTATTAATGTGGATATATGGTTGTTGTTAATCTTTGGAGGAATACCTTGGCAGGTAAATAGTTGTGGGTATTTTATGTGTGATGCTGGTGTCAATGTGGATATATGGTTGATATTAATCTTTGGAAGCATACCTTGTCAGGTAGGTAGTTGTAACTATTCTCATGTGTGATGCTGGTGTCAATGTGGTTATATGGTTGTTGTTAATCTTTGGAGGCATACCTTGGCAGGTAAGTAGTTGTGGATATTTTTATGTGTGATGCTGGTGTCAATGTGGTTATATGGTTGCTGTTAATCTTTGGAAGCATACCATGGCAGGTAGGTAATTGTAACTATTGTCATGTGTGATGCTGGATGTGTGGATATATGGTTGCTGTTAATCTTTGGAAGCATACCTTGTCAGGTAGGTAGTTGTAACTATTCTCATGTGTGATGCTGGTGTCAATGTGGTTATATGGTTGTTGTTAATCTTTGGAGGCATACCTTGGCAGGTAAGTAGTTGTGGATATTTTCATGTGTGATGCTGGTGTCAATGTGGTTATATGGTTGTTGTTAATCTTTGGAAGCATACCTTGATAGTTAGGTAGTTGTAACTATTCTCATGTGTGATGCTGGTGTCAATGTGGATATATGGTTGTTGTTAATCTTTGGAGGCATACCTTGGCAGGTAAGTAGGTGTGGATATTTTCATGTGTGATGCTGGTGTCAATGTGGTTATATGGTTGTTGTTAATCTTTGGAGGCATACCATGGCAGGTAGGTAATTGTAACTATTGTCATGTGTGATGCTGGTGTCAATGTGGTTATATGGTTGTTGTTAATCTTTGGAAGCATACCTTGATAGTTAGGTAGTTGTAACTATTCTCATGTGTGATGCTGGTGTCAATGTGGTTATATGGTTGATATTAATCTTTGAAAGCATACCTTGGCAGGTAGGTAATTGTGACTGTTCTCGCGTAAATATCACGTTCAATAAGTTGCAGTAGAATCTTTAGAAGTTAATAAACAAAATTAGTGCCACGTCTACAGATCAATAAGAAAATCGATGTTCCCATCATACTTAGCAAGAATAATAACAAATCTTATTTATATTTCAGGGAACCTTTCATGCCAACAGATGTTTAGGCTATTTTTGCATTCGTAAGCAAATATCTCTATTACTAATTGTTTACACCATCTGACTTTATCTCGTCACATTTTGAACGCGTTGAGTCAATACGTTATGGCCATAACGCACTGATTCAACGCTACCATCTACAAGGCCATAGCGTATTGGTTCAACGCTACCATCTACAAGGCCATAGCGTATTGGTTCAATGCTACCATCTATTGGGCCATAACGCATTGGTTAAACGCTACCATCTACAAGGCCATAGCGTATTGGTTCAACGCTACCATCTATAGGGCCATAACGCATTGGTTAAACGCTACCATCTACAAGGCCATAGCGTATTGGTTCAATGCTACCATCTACAGAGCTATAAAGTGTTGGTTCAATACCATCATCTACAGGGCCATAACGTATTGGTTCAACGCCACCATCTACAAGGCCCTTGTAGATGGTGGCGTTGAACCAATACGTTATGGCCCTGTAGATGATGGTATTGAACCAACACTTTATAGCTCTGTAGATGGTAGCATTGAACCAATACGCTATGGCCTTGTAGATGGTAGCGTTTAACCAATGCGTTATGGCCCAATAGATGGTAGCGTTGAACCAATACGTTATAGCCTTGTAGATGGTAGTGTTGAACGAATATGTTATGACCCCCACTGTCTATACATACACGTTAATAATACTGGACAGCCTAGTTCCAAAATTCCATAACATCGACTTAGTTTTCGTCACATTCTTTTGAAAATAGTATAAAAATATGTTAATTTTTGGCACTCGCTTTTGTTGCTCATGTTTTAATGTTTTGTTTTTATAGTGAAGGTCTAATATAATTTGTGTGTACTTGGTCATGTAATATCAGATTAGGATACAGTTCTTGATGTCAATGGCGTACGAACTTCTTTTCTCCGTGAACGGCACTGAGTAACTAGTGATTTTTTAAAATTTCGTTGCTGTTTTGGTTCTGATAGGAATTCGTCTACTCGAGGATTACCGCTGCCCTCCCGCTTGCTTCTTCTACACATATTAGGGGTAGTGATCTCCTTCTCCTTGGTTCCCGTGCCACTGGTCATTACGTGAGAAGTGATAAAAAAGTAATACGAAACAAATCTCTAGAAGAACAATTATTACATTATTATAGAGTAAACCCCCCCCCCCCAAAAAAAACAGTTACAACCAATC